CAAAATACCTGGCAAGAATAACTTAGAGGAGGAAAGATTTATTTGGGGCTCATGGTGTCAGAGGTTCAGTCAATGGTTATCCAACTCTATCACTCTGAGCCCGGGGTGAGGAAGAACATCATGATGGAAGGGTGTAGAGGATGAAAGCATCTCAGCTCATGGTAACTGGGGAGCAGATTGAGAAAGGGTAAGACAGTGAGAGGGGAGTGGAGGAAGGAGATGATTGAGAAGCAAGGGACAAAAAATAAGCTCCAAAGGAATGCATGCCTCCCACCTGCCTCCAGTTACCACCCAGTTAGACCATTCAAATTATTTATTAATTGATCAAATGAATTAGATTACAGGTCTCATAACGAAATAATTTCATCTCTGAGTATTAACATTCCTACATTGCTTAAAGTGAGCTCCTGGGGAGACACCTCATACCCAAGCCATAATTGTGTGTGTGTGTGTGTGTGTGTGTGTGTGTGTGTGTATTTGAAAGTGTAAATTATAGTCTGTTTAAATATATGCATGCAGAAAGTATATCCTCTTTATCCCTTGGATAGAATGTATAGAAATCTGTTTCTCTTGGAAAGACAGTGGAATTGCAGCTCAGTGATAGTGGGCTCTGGCTTCAATCAGACCTGTGTTATGGTAACTTCCACAAGTGCACTCACTTCTTTGGACTTCAAATGGCCACATTTGTAAAACAGGGATAATAATGGAATTTTATAAAATTGTTAATATAATTAAATGACTACCATATTTGTAAAGCACTTAACTGATTGCCTAGCTCATAGTACATGTTCAAGAAATGTTAATTATTGTTGTAATACCTGTGTCAGGTTATTTAAGATTTTCCAAACTTCCCCTTCCTCAAGGGTTGAAATTCTGTTTCCTCCCACAAGGGTCTGTGTCCTGCTACTTCCATGTTTCTGCCTACTATATAGTTTTTGCATCATCTAGAAAAGATTTCTCTTTCCCTGAGATGCTGTGACAATTTGTACTCCTTGCATCTCACTTAATGTAGATTGCCTTATGATGATGCTACTCCTGTATGTGGTTTATCTTTCTTTAAAGTTTGTAATTTCCCTGTGGACAGAGCATAGTCTAAATACCTTTGCACTGTGCCAAGATGTTTACCCACATAGTAAATGTCCTATAAATATTGAGTAAATGATTACTCAGTGGTACAGAAAGGCAAGTGAGACTGAATAAATACTGCTTCAATGAAGGCCTACATTAATTAAACATATTTTTGACATGATAGTCACATAAAGTGGATTTGATGATAAGTTTGTTTTGTCTCATTGGCCCTTCACTATCCTAGAAATAAAAATTTTCCAACTCCTTGCATTGTGAGTTGACATGGAAAATTCTTGATAGATGTTGAAATATTTTTTTTACCATAAATTTGTTTATTTTCTAAATTTTATTTTTAATTGAAAAATATATTCTTTCCCCTCATCTGTTTATGGGGTATAATATAATGTTTTGATGTATGTTGACAACAGTGTTTGAGGGATTTTGTTCCAGGCTATCAAATGCAGGTAAAAAGGAAAGGGAGAGAAAAGAAATATAGACAAAGAATAACTGTGATAAAAGATGAACATATGATGTTGGTTACAACTTCACAATGAAGAAAAATATGACAACTTAATTATTGATCAATTCTAAGATGAGAAGTAAAATACAGGCAGTTAGTCTGGCTAAGAGAGCTGTGATGCTTAAAATTGCCCTTTGGTAGCAAAACATCAAATTATTTTAGTTGTAACAGTTACTGTAAGCCTTTCAAGTTCATGTAGAAGTGTTCTCAGCTATCAGAGGTTTCAGATTTCCAACAAGTTACACTCTTGCTGTACTCTTGACTTGGATAATCACCAGTACACGGGCCATAGGTAGTGAGGCTGGATATAATAGCATGCTCACTAGGGCTACACATTTACTCTATTATCTCAAGGAATGGCTGCGTCTTTTATTTAATATTGCCAGTTTTACTGTCAGAAAGGTATATAACATAATGGAAAGTATATGGGCATCTCCACTTACTAGATAAGTGTTGGTGAGTTTAAATTTCTCTTATCTTGAAGTTGAGGATAACAGCATTATTATTTTGAGCTTTAATCATTGTTAACATCAACATGATCATCATGGTAGGTACCTTTTATTGACTTTTGTAGTATGTATCAGTAACTGTTCTAAGTGCTTTACATGGATCAGTCTACTTAACTTTTTGGACAGCATATTAATAAGGTGTATAATGCTTTTGTCCTCATTTAAAATATATGGTATAGTGCCAGGCATATTATAGATACATAAATTTTATTGTTATTACTATTTAATAACTATTATTATCATCCTCTAGATCAAGCACAGCCTAATTATTTTTGGATTAAAATTTTATTTCAGAGAAAAAAAATCTCCTAGAATTTCATCAAAAAGGAATTAAATTTAGACTTTATCTAGTTGTTTTCCATATTTTTAAGCCACCAATTGTCATTTCCAAGATCCATATGTCAAAAATATAAAAGTATAAGTATTCGAATCAGGGGTGGGTAACTTGAACCCTATGTCACAGTTTATCTGTGCCCAGGACTCTGAGAAACATACTTTGGAAATCACTGATAGCATCCATTCTTGGTATATACACCTAGATAGGCAAAGTGATTTATAGTGTTTGCTAACTGCAGACTCTGAATTATGCATCAGATCCTAAATCTAGTATTTTCTATGAAACCACAACATGTAGTTTCATAGCACAGTAATTATTATTCCCTAAAATATACTGATTTAAAGATGACAAAGTACCTTCATATATCTTAACCTATTTGAACTTTACAATTTTGTGGTAGATGTAATTAATTCTTAGTATACCCCAAATGCTGTATAATATATGCACATTAAAAAAATTCTGATGGAGATAGCAGAAGAGGAAGGGGGAAAATCAGAGACCTGAAATATTGGAAAAGTGTGATATCATTGAAATAAGCAAGTACAGGAAAGTTGGCATTTTCCCTGAGAGCAATTTCTAGGCCTCAGTGGTTTGGGCTATGGGTTTTAATGGACACTGTGTAGGAATGTGGGAGATAGTTTAGTGCTAGTTGATATGCTTTAAATAAGAACCTTGAATGGTGAGTCTCTCAATGGGTGAACTAGGAGAAATCCACAGTGAAAAAGGAAAGTTGCCTATCAGTCTTGACTCTAGATTACGGTCTAGAGGATAAAAGTTTGCATTCCTGAAAGCTTTGGGCTCGAATTTATTCTATCTGTGTGGTTCAGTTCTCATCCCCAAGGCAAAATTGTAGTTTAAAGGGATTTTGGATTGATGATTCCCTTAAGCAACTGACAGAAGCAAACACAAATTCTCTGAAGAAATGCAATTTTAAAACCAAAACTTCAAATAATTCCCATAGATTAAATTTCAAAGAATATGAGCTTACAAATAAAAGAATCAACTCAAAACACAAGAAAATTAACCATCATGTGTGATACTCAGCACAAACTACCAACTGCAAAATTAGATGTGCAAGACTGAAGATATTGAAACTGTTAATATAGAACATGCAAGTGTAATGTGTTTCAAGAAATAAAAAAAAAAGATGAAAGAATGAGGGACTGTCAAATTTGACAAACAGATCAAAAAAGAAGCAGTTGTAATTCTAGAAAATAAAAATAAGTGAAATAAAAAAATTATATGAGTGACTGAAACAGAATGTGATAGAATTCTAGAGAGACATCTTAAAAGATACATCCAGAAGGCATACAGAATTTAGCATCAAAAGTAAAGAGAAACAGATTATATGAAAAAACAAATGTAAGTTATATGAAGGAGAGCTCAAGAAGGAAAAACATTTATCCAGTTAGAATAAAGAAGAGAGAAAATTGTGAAGGAAGAATGTTTGAAGAGCATACTTGAGAGTCTTTCAAAATGGTGAAAGATTTCACCAGTCTTAAGATTTAGGAATCCCAAGAAATACCAATAATAAATTCATGAACCTCAGTGTAAAACTAAAGTGTATATAACAAAAGCAAGCAACCAACCAGACAAGCAGATCTTGGAAAGTATCTACAGAGAAAGAGGTTGCTTCATGGAAGGAATGACTGTTAGATTAACAACTGACTACTCCAAAGCAGTAATAGAAATCATAACAATGGAATGATGTTTTCAAAGTATTGAGACAGAGTAACTGTCTAGCCAGTAAAGCTATAAGTATGAGGATGGTATGTAGATATGCTTAGACATATCCTTGGTAAAGAAGTTTCTAAAGTATATTTTAGGAAGAAAAATAATTATCCTGGAAGGCATGGCAGGGATTCAGGCAGAAATGTTGAGAAAAAGTAAATGTCAAACCTGTGGCTAAAAGAATATGGTATATCATCCAGCATTGATGAATGTTGTTAACATTAGTAAGTGTGAATAGAAAAAAAAAAACACACCATGCAAGATGTTTACAGTATGATTTCATTTATATGAACTTTGAAATGGGCAAAACTAAGTTATATTTGCTTGATAAATAGTACCTATACATGATGAAATCATAAATATATGTAAGGGAGTGATTAACCCAGAATTCAGGATAGTTATCTCTGATGGCTGGAAGGAGGATTCATTGGAGAGATGTAATTAAGAGATACTAATAATATTTTCTTGTATTAATTATATATATTTGTATATTTTATCTTTCCTTTTATACATATCATAATTTTTTCAATGAAATAATTATAAAAAGTCCAGTCATGTAAGATGATAATAGGAAGAGGATTCAGGATCAGCATGAGTAAGATCCTTCAGGTATTGACAACCTTAGTAAATTTGAGTACAGTAACAAAATCTCTTTAGCTTGGGATAGACTAAAGTTTTCTATTTCTCTTCTCCAATCCCCTACCCTGTTCACCCTTGTTTATTGCCATTGTATGTTTTCATGCATAATGACATAATAAAAAAGTTTCATGCTTTATTATTTGGAGGTCTTTTATTCTCTCCCTTCCTTATGTAAAATTTTATTTATATCTTCTAGGTCATAACTTTTGTGCTGAAGCACCTAAATGTGGTGAAAACTCAGAGTGTAAAAACTGGAATACAAAAGCTACTTGTGAGTGCAAGAATGGTTACATTTCTATCCAGGGAGACTCTGCCTACTGTGAAGGTAAGTAAAGAATTTAAAGAAGTCACTTGTGAGAAACTGGCTGAGAAATGTGTTCCCACAAAAAATTGTACCAACTACCCCTGTTTTCCTGGTTTATTCAAGCTGTTTACCATGAGAAAGCAAGACCTTTGAAGGTTGTTGCAAAACATTACAAGTAACCAAAAGTAACAAGTTTATGTGAAATCCCTGTTTCCACTGTTTGTCCCAATCACCAGAACAACCATAAATGCATCATTTTCTATAGTCTTATTTGAGGATACTGTCATCTCTCCAAGTTTGATTATATTTTACGTGGTGGATTTTCTTTTCAAAGGACACTTTCTTTTTTGGCTTTAACTTGTACCCAGCTGTTACCTTTACTTGTCAAGGTCAGAATTGCTTTTTCAGTGGGATTTATTTTCTTTTTTTTTTTTTAATGGCTCATTCACATATTGCCAATTACCAATCTTTACCAAGAATCACAGTGACAGGATTCATAACTCTGACACATGAGCTGATGCCCCTACAATGGATTTGTGGCTCAGGCATGACCCCACACATCTACTCTACAGGGCAGAAAAAAAAATTGCTCTGCCTTATGTGAATGAGCCTCTTTTTCCAAGCCCAAAATGGTATTCTGCTGGTGGTGAGCATTGCATACTTTATTCCTTTAGCAGGCCAGAGGCATGGGGTTAGTCCTGACCCCTTTCTGTATGCATGGTGCTGCAGTGCCTGAGTCTATCAATCCTTAAAGTGCTTCCTGGCTCCCCGCTATCAATTTAGAGAAGGTCTAATAGACAGAGTTATGACTGGACTCTTCTCTGTCCCAGTTCCTGTCATTTCAGTCATTTCTTTTACCTTCACTAATAAAATAGCAATAGTGATCTGTTAATCAGGAAGGGAGATGTTTTTAGTTGAATGAATGTTGCAAAATCTGCTCAGTCTCCTGTTAAGATCTTTGGGTCTCAAATGGTTCAAGTGTTAAGGGAAAGACAATATTCATAGATGACACTAAGGCAAGTTCCTTTTCATTCTGCTGTTTTGCATTATTGAACCTTGCTTGACTTTTTGTCTTTGACTCTAGACCTCTTCAGTTGTTCAGGAAGTGCATCACTTAGAGTGGTAAGTTCCTGGTAGGCAGCCTCTGTGTTTTTTTCATTTCTCATGGAAAACTTCTTTCTTCACTACCTTCCTACTTTGCAATATTCTAGCTAGTGGGGTTTTCACCCTCATTTTTTTTAAACCTTCTTTTCCCTCTTGCTAATTTTATTGATTTGAACTTGCTTAGTAGGACATGCCACTTGACAGAACAAAAGAGCTGTTATGTCATGAAACCTTTCATCTACCTTGTAATATCATTGTAATTACTTTTAATTTCTGAGAAGAGAATTACTAATATCAATGCTTCATATTAATATCTGTTTTAAAATATTTTTGGATTATGCTATTTTCAGAAATTTAATTTAAAAACGTAAGTGGTGAACATTCTCCTTACCATTCTTCATGAAAAAAAAAAATCTCTACAACCAAGGTAATGATCTAAAAAACTTACTCTCTTACCTTCTAGTATATATGGACTTAGCTTCTGGACAATCATAACAGGAATCTCAAAATAATTTGATTCCAATTGCCAACATACCTTTAAGTTTTCCATTAGAATCTGTCCCCCTTAGCTATTGAGACCTAGAAGAATATGGAAGAAAACTACTGGTTCTAATGCTGTTGGTATCACTGATACCATTTTTTGGTCCCTAGATTCAGTGCCAAGAGAAGCCATCTGTGATATTAAATTTGCCCTTTCTGTATGAAACCTTATTTTATTGATTGTGTTGAGTGATTTTAGGTCTGAATCACCGTTTTCTTGGACATGCTCCTGCAGTGTATGAGCCTGGCCTCAGGCCAGCATGCACTGTGGTGTTAACCTTAAGTAACAGTAATGTGCTTGGGCCTCAGTCATTACATTGTTATCACAGAGACTCTCTACAAGTCCCAGGGAACTTGTTCATGGAGGGAGGGATAGCACCTAAAGAGCAATGGCTAAAGGTTGGAGTCCTCCTAGTGTATAAGAAACAAGTTCCAGGAGTAGAGCAGGCATCTAGGTGGGAGGCATAAAGAACCAAGAAGACCAAACACTGACATTTACAGCAGATGCTTTCCCTCAGTTTGGCTGCCATCTGCAGCGTATTGAACTTTGGTCTTCTGGCTTATGTTCCTCTGATTGCATGGAGGCTGCCATAGCTCCAGTCATGGTCCCCTCCTCCACATAAGGAAAGGAAGAAGGGGTGGCAATTAAAAATATCTATGTAAAATTTTGTCTTTTTACACACACACACACACACACACACACACATCCTTCCAGAAGATGCCTCCATCCCTACCACTACCATATGCAGAAAATTTCCCATCTTATTCAGACCTGGGCAATATCCTCGCCCCTTGCACCCCCACCCATACACCCTTGGGCCAATGTTTGGGTGTAAGGAAAGGAGATACCTCCTGCTGGTTTGGGTCAATTGTGTTCATTCCCTGGAGCTGGAATGTGGGTTGTCTTCCTTTAGACCAAATGATTCTTTCCTCTGTTGGAAGCAAACAGGGATATGCCAATAGAAAAGAGTGGGGTTTGATTTTAGGAGGGCAAAACCCCACTCTTTTATTAGTTAAATTCAGTCTCTGGGCCATTTTCTTCATTTTCTCCTAAGAACTGCCCTCTGGGGTGATCTGATGACAAGCTTAGAGTTGGTACTGGAGATGCTCAGAAAGCAGGCTCATTGTCTTAGCCTATCCCAGAGAGAGCTAGATACTCACGAACTGCTTCAGGCAAGTTGTTTTTTAACCCAAGTAAATGGAGCAAAAATGACCCACATTATAAAAGCCACCACGAACCAGACTGGTTTGCAAATTAAAACAAAGTATTACACACATTGTCCAGGCTCTCTTAAAAAGCCTCTTCAGGCTCTCAGTGGATAAAGAAGCATAAAACGCTTTCAATTTTCTTAACTTCCTAAGGTAGCAGCAGAGCTGTGGTGTATTAAGGACTCCTGCTCTGCAGAGATTGTAGAGTCTGCCAGAGAGAAGATATCGGAACTCCTAGCCAATCAATAGAAGATAATAAGAGCTTTTGTCAGCTATGATACAAGTCACGGGAGGTTGTTTCATTCTGCCTCTTGTGACTCAAGCAGGCGCATTCCCCATTTTGAAAACTGCTTTTGTTGGATTTCAGTGTTTTATGAACTTGGCAGGCTGAGGCTTTTCCCCTTTGTGATAACATTTTCAATGAATGGGTCCTGAGTAGTTTTTGATACATTAGTTTAAATTAGAGGTACTGTCTGAGGAAAATGTAGCAAGAGGGGTCCTAGTGATGATCTTCTTTAGAGATTCACAAACTCTTTTTTTCCAGGTTGCAAAAAAGCCATTTAGGTGAATGAAGGATAGCATAATTTATGCATCCTGCAATCTGCCAGGTATAGAAAGTGCTACAATTAGTATTAAATGATAAGACCTTTTACTTGCAGAATACTCTGAATTTTCCAGACTTCTCTCAGGTATCTTATACTTTTTTTTTTTTAAACTTTCAAGAAATCTGTGAGAAGGCTGAAAGCCTCGACTGCCATTAGCTTCATTTTATAAATGCAAACACTAATACTCAGAAATGAAGATAAAATTCAACGCATTTCTATTCCAGGGCTTTATGCCCAGACTTACACTGTTCCCAACCTTCTCACCACTCTCGCACCATTCCAATGTCATCTTGTTGTTCAGAATATTTGCTATCTCCTCATTTATCCCACTGGCATCCAGTGTGGCCAAAGAAATGTAAGTGGGAATGACATGTGTCATTTCAGAGTAGAAGCTCTAAGAACTTTTGCAGGATTCTACATCATTTTCTTCTCTTTATGACATGAAAATCTGGCGATATTCCAGATCAGAACCTCCCCTTTAGCCAGGGTTCCAGAACGAAGATGACATGAAGCAGAGTTACTGCTGACAGGTGATGGGCATGTAGCATGAGTGGGAAATGTGTATACCACCGAAATTAGCAGGTTTGGGTATGTGGGGAATGGTTATATGTTACCTTTCCATAACTTAGCTAAATTCACTGATGTACCCACCTGAATTAATTGATTCAAAACTCACAGGTTCAGCCTGGTGCAGTGCCACATGCCTGTAATTCCAGCAGCTCTGGAGGCTGAGGCAGGAGGAGATTTGGGCCTATATTTTTCTCTATTATGTGTGGGTTCTCTGGTCTAATACCTAGGTCCTTGATTCACTTTGAGTTGAGTTTTGTGCATGGTGAGAGATAGGGATTTATTTTCATTTTTACTGCATATGAATTTCCAGTTCTTTCAGCACTGTTTGCTGAAGAGGCTATCTTTTCTCCATTGTATGTTTTTGGTGCCTTTGACTAGTATGAGATAACTGTATTCATGTGCGCTTGTCTCTGTGTCTTCTATTCTGTACCATTGGTCTACATGTCTATTTTGTTGCCAGTACCATGCCATTTTTGTTACTATATCTTTGTAGGTGAGTTTAAGGACTGTTATTGTGATACCTTTTGCTTTGCTCTTCTTACTAGGGATTCCTTTGGCTACTCTGGGTCTCTTATTTTTCCAAATGAATTTCATGATTGCCTTTTCTATTTCTAAAAGAAATGATTATGGAGTTTTAATTGGAATCACATTGAATCTATATAGTGCTTTGGGTAGTATGGCCATTTGACCATATTAATTTTGCCTATTCAAAAGCATGGGAGATCGTCCCATCTTCTAAAGTCTTCTTCAATTTCTTTCTTTAGTGTTCTGAAGTTTTCATTGTAGAGATCTTTCACCTCTTTGCTTAAGTTGATTCCCAAGTATTTTATTTATTTATTTATTTATTTATTTTGAGGCTATTGTGAATGGGATGGTTTTCCTAATTCTCTTTCAGGAGGATTCATCACTGATGTATAGAAATGCATTTGATTTATGGGTATTGATTTTTATATCCTGTAACTTTGCTCAATTTGTTAATTAATTCTAGAAGTT